AAAGATTTTCCTGGAAAAATGCTGAGACTTCTTGAGATTCTAAATCTGCCTCCTTTTTCTCCCTGTAAGGGCTCTTCTGATAGTTGTTCAGGAGACTGTAAACTGTCATGGCACTGATAGGTATGACATTTAGTATGCTAATGACATTATGATCAGGTTTCGGTCTTCCAGACGTCATATGGTAGCCCTCTTTAATCCCACCAGTGTAAGCTGGTTCCTAGAGAGGGGCCTTATTTTATACACAGGCATGTATCCTGTTACTTAAAGAAAAACACTATGGGAGGCAGGGGCCTGGGGTATATATGAGCATTGATGTTATGGTGGGTGATACCTGGATCTTAGACCTCCAATTTGTAAGTTGAATAAACATCTATTTTTATGAATCACCCAATTTCAGATATTTTTTACTATTAGCAACAAAATGAATAAGAACAGAATTACTATAGAAATGCAGTGACTTCTAGAAGAAGGTTTTGAATCCTATAGAAACATAATAGTTTAGAAAACCTATAAATCAGAGAGAAAAAAAGGGAATCCTAAAGCCTCACATATTAATATTTTCTTTACGTCTTTCAAGTAAAACTAACAGGACTGATAATAAATTTACTTTAAGCCATTGGCAAGAAGAACTTCAGATATGCCATAAAGTTCCAACCAAAAAGAAAAGTTTGCACTTAACATACTGTTTTGCAATTACAACTTTATGATAAGGGAATAATGGCAAGAGTGAAATAGTGTTCCTGAAGCACTTAGCACAATTCCTGGCAGATGATAAACTCATGTTATATATAATAAACATTATTTTTCTTACCACGCTATCTAGTAAACATTACCTATTTGTGCATCCTCCTCCTGCTAGACTATAAGTGGACTAGGGGTCGGAATTCCATTTTACTCATTGTTTCATCCTCAGCTGCTGTCACAGAGCTTGGTGCTTGGTAAATATTTGTGGAGTAAATAAACCTCACTGATTCTTCTAGACAAAGAAGATATTCAATAAAAGAGAAAAGTTATCCTTGCTCTTTGTTACCCACCTACATGAGTTCATCAACTCAAGCACCAGTTTGTAGTTGTTTGTGTAAAAACAAACATTTAAATTTAATTATCTGAGTTTTACATTGAATAAAGACAGGAACTCTTTTTTTTTTTTTTTGAATAATAAAATCATTTGATAGACTACCAAAAAATGTGAAGGACTCTCCATTCTCAGTGAGCTCTTTCAGATGCAAGTAACACCTGTCCTGGATGATTTAGACCTTGACTTGCCTGAAAACAGAGCACTAGGCCAGATCATCTCTGAACATGACTTCAGCTCTATTTTCCTATGATTCTATTAGCCAGTTAATATTTTCCCTGTAATTTTCTCTTGGTAACTGCCTAATAACATTACAGTTTCTTCCATACAGTGCAATAATGTGAAATTAATCTAATATCATGTACCCACTCTGCCTTTTTCATCAATGTCACTTACTCTGCAACCCTGAAGAATTATTCAAGAACACTTTTTTTTTCCATTTCTTCACCTAAATAGAAATCTTCCTAGGTCTTTAAGTTAGAACCTGCCATATGTTCAGTACTTATTAAAAATCTACCTGGGGTCTTACCTGCATTCATTAGTCCTTAAATTCCTCTGTTTCCTTTTTTCATCCCATCCAAATTATATTCTTTTTTACTATTATAAACTAAACTAATTGCAAGCCATCAAGACCTAATTAAGAATTTGGGTGCCATCACATTTCAAAATATCTAAAAATGTCCAAAACAGATGATAAGCCTGTTTCTGTCTCTCCTTGCTTGCATAGGTTGATGTCACCAAGTCCATAAGGACATACTACAGAAGAGAATGCCAACAGTCAAAGGATCAAGATGATCTGGTAGCTGGATTCTTTTTTACCTCCCAACCTCTTTATCATATTAAAGAGAGATCAAAACTAATTTTTACAGGAAGCTTACCAAGACAATATATGTATCACTTTGCAAAATAGCTATCTTACTCCTTAAGAGAATTAGAATCTATGTGGACTCTTGAAGCCGTAAGCCAAAGGTAGCTCTTTTGGTACCAACAACTTACACACTATTCAACTTTGTCTCTACCGAGCATGTTTTCTTTATGCTTTACACATCAAGTGAATGATATTTAGTGATAGAGATAATAACTACCACTTACTGGGTTCCTAATATGTACCAGTCCCTCTAACCACGCAGTGCCACACACTTGGTAATCCATATGGACAGCATCCCTGAAGCCCTGAGATGCACAGCCTGGCCCATCATATGTAGTAGTGCCTTATTATCCACCAGGCATACATTCCAAGACCTTCAAAAATCATGGACAGGGGAACCAGCAGTTAGCGTAATGGCTATGTCGCTGGACTCCCACGTAGTCGACCGCGGTTCGTGTCCCGGACCCGGTGGCTTAAAACTCACGCCGGGCGCGTGTGCGTGCGTGCCCAAGATCCCGAGAGGAGAATGGAGGAGAAGGGATTGCGGCGTGACCATCCCCCCTGGGGGGTGATTTCTCGCTTTCTGTCTCTATGTCTCTCTCTGTCTGTCTGGCGAGCGCACGCACCCCACAGTGAAAATCTCTCCAAAAAAAAAAAATCATGGACAGTATCGATCACTGCATATACTATATTTATTCCTATACATACCTATGATAAAGTTTAATTTATGAATGACATACAGTGAGAGGTTAACAACAGTAGCTAATAAAACAGAACAATTACAGCACATACTATCATCAATGTACAGTCAATCTGATAACCAACTTGGCTATTAAGTGACTTATAGGCAGGAAACATATACATAAACTAGACATAGGAATGATTCGCTTCTCGGGTGGGATAGAACTAGACAGCACAAGATTTCATCACAGTATTCAGAACAGCATCCAATTTAAAACTTATGAATTGTTTTAATCCTGAAATTTTCCATTTAATAGTTTCAGGCCACAGTTGACTGAGGATAACTGAAACTGGAAAGTGAAACCATGGATAAGAATAAGCTATTATAATTCAACCTTTATAACCACACAGAGTAGTATTATCATTCTTATTTACAGATGAGAAAAAAAAAAAAAAAACCTCATTGAGGTAACCAAATTGACCAGGGTCACACAAGAAGTAAAGAAGAGATCTGGATTTGAAACTCGTGTCTGATACCAAAGGATTACTACTGTCAGGAATTCTGCTATGGGACTTGAAAATAAGCAGGCCGAGCTATTAAAGACCCTGAAATGCAATTAGAGAAAATAAGACAGATACATGTAAAATTAAATAGTAATGAAATATTAATATAATGGCTCAAGTCAAAAGAGAAAATTTGTCACAAGGAAAAGCATGATTAATTGCTAAATGGACTATTAGGCAATAATTGAAACAACCATTCCAAGGAAAGAAAAATCTATAAATATTTACAAGCTTTGGTAAACAGTTCACACACTGAGAATTTCTAAGTCTTTAACACTGAAGACAGTACATAGACAGGGAATAAGAGAAAATGATGACCCTGTTTTGCCTGCAAAAAGGTGTTGTGGAACAGATGGCAGCAGGCTCTTGCAGGGGAGGAAAAAGATAAAGAGTCCATGGCAAAATGAACTCTTCATCAGAATTCTGAGAATGATTTGATGTTATTTGCTTTTTCCTTAGAAAGAATTTTTAGAGCCAGCTGATTATGTGGTAGTTAAGGTAGCTCAATCCCACATGGCCAACTATACATTGGAGTCCTGGACCCAGTGAGGTGCATGTGTGCATGTCCAAAATCCTGAGAGAAAAATGGAGAAGGGATTGGGGTGTGGTCATATCTCCTGGAGGGTGCTTTCCTACTTTTCCTCTCTTTGTCTTTTTGTCTTCATCTTTCAGTGAGCACATGTGCACTGTAGCAATTTTCTTTACAGTTTTTTTAAAAATGTTTTTCTTTATTTGTGATAGAACACAAGTGCATGCATTTTGAAAGTGAGAGAGAAACAGAAGCACTCTTTGCTTCTCTTGAACAGCTCTATATTGCCTTACCACAAAGTCAGCTTCTTTTTAATTTTGACTTCACGTTTAGCTTATGGCCTTAGGAGCTCAGTTTTTTAAAATGTGTGAATGATATTATTTGAAGTAAAAATGTGGTATGCTTTGGGTTTTATTTTATAATTTAACATATTAGCTTAAAGAGCTACATTTTTATTATTAAATTAGATTTTTCCATAGGGCACATGTACTTACTAAAAGACAGGAGAGAAAGTGAGAAGTCACCCCCGGGGCATAGCCACACAGCAATCATCTTTTCTCCTCCAGTCTTCCCTCTAGACTTTGAGCACATACATGCACATGTAGCCAGTATGTTTCTTCAAGCCTCCAGGTCTGGGACTGGAATTAGAGTTGGCCATGTGGGATCCAGTGCCTTAACTACTGCACCACCTACTAGCCCCAAGAGTTACAGTTTTTTAAAAAAGAATATATATATATATATATTTAAATTGCCAGAGGGTACAGAGATACTCTCCAGAGAGAGAGAAAAAGAAAGCAAAAGAGCACACCTGAATGGGGTATATTCATAACACAGTCCTTTCTCCTCTATCTCTCTATCCTGTTGGTATTTTATGCCACTGATGCACATGTGCTTGATGTGTTTTTTTTTTTTTTTTTTTTTTTTTTTCACCATGCTCTTTGTTTTTTTTTATGTTTGGCTGGACACAAAACTGTCCTCCCCACCAGTGATCACCACTGGCTTCCTGGGAGGAACAGGTAGCAAAGATGGCTCCAGATGGCTCTGTGCTGCTGCTTTGGGCCTTGGGCCTTATCAAATGAGCACAGTGGGCTCCACCTTCCAACATGAAGTGCAAACTCTTCACAGTCAGACTTCACCAGGATGGAGAGGTGGTCAGAGCTGAAGGCACTTTTAATCAAGGAGCAACCTAATGCCCAAGTCCACCTTCCTCTGGTTACCGAGATAAATCTAGACACCTGATTGGTGGAGAAGCAGCCCTGTGCAGGGTAGTGCACTGACTCAACAGGGCCCGTGGCCTGCTCACTGGTAGAACTTCTTGCTAGGGCTGCTGGCATGGTCCAGGAACAGCTGGCACGGGGTGAACTGCTTTCCATAGGCAGCCTCGTACTTCTGGAGCCGGTCCACGATCTTCTGAGCACCGTACAGATCCACGAAGCGGAAGGGCCCTCCGAGACAAGGGGGAAAGCCGAGGCTAAAGACGGCTCCGATGTCTCCCTCTGCAGGCGTGGCCAAGATCCCTTCCTGTAGGCACAAGACTGCCTCATTCACAAACCTTGTCCCCAGGCGGTACTGGATGTCTTCGTCAGAGGAGACTTCAGACTTAGGCGGCACCTTCACACTTGCCAAAACACTGTCCATGTCGGAATTCACACTCTTATTCTTCACACCCTCCTGGTAGATGTAAAAGCCCTTCCCAGACTTGTGACCCAGGAAGCCCTTGGACACCATCTGCTTCAGCAGGTCTATGTTTCCACCCCCAAACCGCTCCCCGAAGGCTTTGCCTAGATCTTCTGCCACATGTTTTGCAACATCCACGCCAACTTCATCCACCAGTGTGGCAGCACCCACAGGAAAGCCAAAGCTTGTGGTCAGGGAATCCAGCTTCTTAGGGTCAACGCCTTCCTGAAAAGGAAGGGAAGCAGAGACCTCAGAAGATGGCCCTCCCAGATTCCCCACAAGGGGCCCCTGTACTAGCCCCTAGACCCAGACTTGTGCAAACCCACTTTTCTCCCCGTACCTGGCCAGGCCTAAAGACTAGTACTAGTTCATTCAGAGAAGCTCAAGTGGGGCCAAAAGTGGAAAGTCTAGGTCTTCTCTAAATCTACAGAACTTAAAAAAATATATAAATAAAAAGTTTTTGACATGCCGATCACCTTTTCAGGCCTTGTGCTGACAGCAGTAATTTCACTGATTGGGAGGGCAAATGTGTTACTGGCAAAGATACAGTGATCTGGAACTCTGTGCTGCTGCTTTGGACCTTGGGCCTTATCAAATGAGTACAGTGGGCTCCACCTTCCAACAGGAAGTGCAAACTCTTCACAGTCAGACTTCACCAGGATGGAGAGGTGGTCAGAGCTGAAGGCACTTTTAATCAAGGAGCAACCTAATGCCCAAGTCCGCCTTCCTCTGGTTACTGGGATAAATCTAGACACCCGATTGGTGGAGAAGCAGCAGCCCTGTGCAGGGTAGTGCGCTGACTGAACAGGGCCCGTGGCCTGCTCACTGGTAGAACTTCTTGCTAGGGCTGCTGGCATGGTCCAGGAACAGCTGGCACGGGGTGAACTGCTTTCCATAGGCAGCCTCGTACTTCTGGAGCCGGTCCACGATCTTCTGAGCACCGTACAGATCCACGAAGCGGAAGGGCCCTCCGAGACAAGGGGGAAAGCCGAGGCTAAAGACGGCTCCGATGTCTCCCTCTGCAGGCGTGGCCAAGATCCCTTCCTGTAGGCACAAGACTGCCTCATTCACAAACCTTGTCACCAGGCGGTACTGGATGTCTTCGTCAGAGGAGCTGCAGGAGGAAGAGACACTCAGGCGGAGGAAGAGGAAAAGGGGAGGAGAGCAGGAGCCGCAGGCGCAGAAGGTGGATTCACACTCTTATTCTTCACACCCTCCTGGTAGATGTAAAAGCCCTTCCCAGACTTGTGACCCAGGAAGCCCTTGGACACCATCTGCTTCAGCAGGTCTATGTTTCCACCCCCAAACCGCTCCCCGAAGGCTTTGCCTAGATCTTCTGCCACATGTTTTCCAACATCCACACCAACTTCATCCACCAGTGTGGCAAGACACCTGGTGGTGTAGAAGCCAGGCCCGTCCTTAACCACAATGATGACCTTCCCCTGCTTGAGACCGACGGCCACAGGTGACGCGGTCGTGTCCTTGGAGGTCTTCTCAGTCGTGATGATCTCCAGCAGCTGCATCTTGTCCACGGGGGAGAAGTAGTGCATGCCGATCACCTTTTTAGGTCTTTTGCTGACGGCAGCAATTTCACTGATTGGGAGGGCAGATGTGTTACTGGCAAAGATACAGTGATCTGGAATCACGGCTTCTACTTCCTTCAGCACTTTGTGCTTGAGACTGAGGTCCTCAAACACAGCCTCGATCACCATGTCGGCCTTCTCAAAACCCTGGTAATAGAGCTGCCCAGTCAAGTTGCTGAAGATGGAATCTCTTTCAAATGATGTTAGGGCTTTCTTCTTCACTTTATCATTCAATCCTTTGAACACCTGCTGCTGTCCTCAGCCCAGCCTGGATAGTGTGACATCTTTCAGTATGGTCTTCAGCCCCTTATCCACGGAGACCTGAGTGATGCCGGCTCCCATCAGTCCTGCACCCAGAATAGCTAGATGCTTCACATCCCTCTGTGGAGCTCCAAATTTATTCTTCTTGCACAGGACCTGGCCATGGTAAAGTCCCATCAAGGCCTTTGATTCTTTGGTCATTGCAAGCTCTCCAAATGTCTGAGACTCAGAGAGATAACCAGCAGCATTCCCTTGCTCGAGTCCAGTCTTGACCATGTCAATTATTTTCAGAGGTTCAGGATAAAGGCCTTTAGTCTGCTTTCGCACTTTTTCTTCCACCTTCTTATAAACTTGTTGCCTGACAAATGGAATGGTCATGGCGTATGATGTCAATTTTTCCACCAATCCTTTTTCTCTCTTAGGAAGAGATCTTCTTCCGGCTAGTCCTTTAGCAAAAGTAACTGCAACTTCTTCTAGGTATTCAATCGTCCGTTCCTCTGGAGGTTTTATTCCTGGTCCTAGGGGTTCCACCAGCTGGTCAACCAGACCCATCTTCTTTGCTCTGTCTGCACGGATGTTCCTACCAGTCAGCATCATGTCAAAAGCAGCAGGCACGCCCACCATTTTAGGCAACCTCTGTGTGCCTCCTGATCCTGGTAGGATGCCCAGCAAGACTTCAGGGGTACCTAATACTGTTTTTCTGTCTTTTGTTGCTATTCTGTATTGGCATGCAATAGCAAGCTCAAGTCCTCCTCCCAGGCAGGATCCACTGATGGTGGCCACAATAGGCTTTGAGGACTTCTCGAGTTTCTCAAACATTCTCTTTCCTTCCTGTGATAACTGCATTACTTCTTGAGAGGTCTTGCAAGAGGCTAACATGTTGATATCAGCACCGGCAATAAAGCAGCCTGTCTTAGAGGAGATCAGGACGGCACTTCTGACTTGATCGTTGGCCCAGATTTCATTCATTTCTTCTGTGAACTCTGAATGTAGCTCTTTATTTAGTATATTTACCTTTGAATTGGGTGAATTAATTCGAGTAATGCCACATCCCTTTTGACTCCATAGCTGATATGGGTTCTGGTTAGTAAAGGAGAAGAGCCTGAAAAGTTGCGGCAGGTATAACCTCGGGAGCGGAGGGTCCTGAAGGCAGTGAAGCGTCAGAGGCTGCCAATTGCTCGGGAGGACACCATCTTGAGCCGGAGAGGACGAAACTGGGTAGCGCGTCTCGTGGGAGCCTGCTTGATGTGTTTTTCAAGCTAGCAAGGCTAGGATTCAAACTGTGGTCAGTCAGATAGGATCTAACCTTCCTTAACCAGCAGGCTATGGAACCAGCCCCTAAAAAAATCTTAAAGGATTTTTTTTCCCCACATTTAGGACACCTAAGTAGAAGTTGTACTGGCAGAAATAAATAAATACTAACTCTCAATTTAATTCTAATGTTGGTAGTTGTAACAAAGTATTGTGCTCTTCCACATTCCAATCATGTGAGTAAAAGAGATGTTGATAAATACTATAGTTTTCTACTTTGAATCTGCATTGCAGATAGTAGTCATGTGCACTTTTGACTAAGATCAAATAAAAAAGGATTTAAAAGAAGCCTAGAAACAGAATGCCAAATTTAGATCTGGGTTTTAATTTCATCCTATGCTAAAATGATGATGCTTCCTTTATGTATTTAACCAAGTGACTTATTAAGCAGTGTATGTTAAAGTAATGGTCAAAAATAATGAGAACAGAAAAAATATGCCCCTACACAATTACATATGACTGAAGACGGACTAGTATTTTTTATAGGCCTTAGTATGCAAATCAGTTTCATATGCAAATCACCTCTGGGTTATTAGCACCTATTTTATAAAAGAGAATTTGAGCTTATTAAAATTAAATGATTTGCCTAGTAATCTAAGGAATGATGCTTAAACTCATATATTCTAATTCTGACTCCAAGAGCTCATAACAAATCCTTGAAGATGACTTATACTATTAGAAACATATATGCCTTTTGTGCATTTCCATTTGCTACTATGGCAACCTTGGCCTTTCTGAGTCAATATGGTTTCATCGTTCAAGACATAAAGTTTTCCAAAATGTGATCATATTATAATATACATAGAGTCAAAAGAAAAAGAAATCAGGAACAAATTATTGGTGATTTCAGGTGGGTATCTGACGTGGCCTCCAATCTTTACTAGTAATGTGACCTTCAGGTAATTGTTTGATTTCTCTGGACCTCAATTTCCTCATTTGTATATGAGGATAATAAGACCTAACTCATAAAGTAGTTGAAGCCATTAAAGAAGATATTTTATACCAAGAGCTTAGTTAACGTCTAGACTATATACTCATTAAATGGTAAATCTGCTGCCATCATCTACTCAAAACATTATATTCAGTCCTCATTGCCACCACAATTTTATCACAAAGCTCATTATTTTAAAATTTCTGAGCATAATTCCCAATACATATACATAAATTCATAAAGTATATGTAAACATGATGTACTAAATATAATCGACTTCAAAAAATTAAAAAAAAAACTTTAAAATTGCAAAATAAGTAAGGTCTAACTGGATTATCTTGTATACCTCTTGCAATATACATACCATACTTTAGAGACCATTGAATCAAACCTTTATATAATGGGCCAGACAGTAAATATTTAAGGTTTTGCAGACCATAAAAAGTCTCTACTGCATGTTCTTCTTTTTAAAAGTTTATCCAAGATGAAGAAAGAAAGACAGCAGCCATAAGAGGGTCCTGATACCATGATCCATCCCCAAGCTTCAGCCAGTCCTAGATCATAGGAAAGTGCATACCAGTGTACCAAAGAGGTCTCCAAACACTAATTGGTAGCCTTCCCATGTGGGATTGCATCAAATTTTTACTATTCCATCACTGTAAGGCCCTATTTTTCTTTACTTTTGTAAAAGATTTAAATAACCCTTTAAAAATGGAAAGGGATATTTTGCTCCAGTTCCATACAAAAACACAGCTTGGTCTATAGTATTCCTATCATTGTTTTCAATTGCATATAATTACAGAACAAAATTTTTGAGTCAATGAACGAGTAAATAAACAAATACTATAGTGAAGGTAAATGAAGTAAGCTGAATGAAGTAAGCTGTTTAATGCAATAGAGAGTAAAGGGGAGGAGGCAATTTTTACTAAGATGGTCAGAGAAGACCATGTTGAGATTTACGCTAAGATCAAAAGGATGAGAAGGAGCCAGTCACATAAGAGCAGAACATTTTTCAGGCAGAGGGGTGGACATGTAAGTACAAGGACTTAAGATGGAAAAGAACTTTCCTGTTCAAGGACTGAGAGAAAGTCTGTCTCTTGACCTATGTAAGAGAAGAGGGGAAAAGTAACAGTGAGATGAGTTTGGAAGAGCCAGCTTTGCAGAGTTTTAAAGGTGATTTCCATAAAATAAAGCATTTGAAGCAGAAAAGAAGTTAGAGAAGATAAAATCAGCAGATTGTATGTCTCAGGAAATGTGGGTACAGAGAAATAATAACAAGAAGGTGGTGGATCAAAGATTGGCTCTTGAGGCAAAAATAAAAATTAAACAGAAGTAGCCAGTTCTGATTATGCCTTCAAGCTATTTAAGACAATGATTAAACTTGTGAGTTCTTTATTGCTATTCAACCTTGAAATAAAGTCATCACTGAAGTGTTTGCAATTCTGACTTTTATTAACCAAACCAAATTAAGAACAAACTCCTTATGTTCCCACTTAGTTGGTCTTTTTCTTTCTTTCTTTCTTTCCTTTGTTTTAGGTTTTTGCCATAGGGTGTGTGTACTCACCAGAGAGAGACAGAGAGAGGGAGAGGGAAATGTCATCCCAAGGAGGAATGGCCATGACCATGCCACAATCTTTTCTCCTCCATTCTCAAGCCACCAGGTCTAGGACAAAGGCCATGTGGGAATCCAGTGCCTTAACCACCACACCACCTACTGGCCCCTTTCTTTGTCTTTCTTCTTCCTTCCTTCCTTCCTTGCTTTGTTATTCTTTTCAAATTAAAATTACCTTGAAATATCTATCTTGGAAGACTACACAAGTGGTAACACTAGTCTGTTCTAGAGAGGGAAACTGGGCATCTGGCACAGAAGTGGGAGAGAGACAATATTCAAGAAACTTGTATTTTACTATACCTTCACAATTTGAACCATGTGATTCTAATGTCTCTTCAAAAGTCAAATAAATTAAAATTAAAATTTTTAAAGTATATTAATTTTGTAATACCTAAGGAAAATGAAACCATTCTCTAAAGATTTATTTGACTGGGAAAAATGCTATTCCAATATTTTCTAAACATGATAAAGTTGAAAACTTTACAAAGTGTGTGTGTACGCATGTGTTGATAGAAAAACTGAACAGTAATGTGATTCCTAGAGAACTCATAAATTAATGAAAAAATAAATTCTAATATACAATGGAAGCAGTGTAGGCAGTATGTTTAAACTCAACTCATACATTGGAAAAGTTTGTCAGTTCCTCAAAATGTTAGCTACCACATGACCTAAGAATTCTACTCCTAGGTATATTTCCAAGAGCATACATCCACATAAAAAACTTGTACACGATTGTTTATAGTGCCATTATTTATAATAGCTAAAAATGTAGAAATGACTCAATTGTCCAACTCCTGAATGGGTAAACACAATGTAGTATATTCATACAGTAAAATATTATTCAGCAATAAAATTAAAGTACTCATTGATAAGTGCTACAGCATGGATAAACCTTAAAAGCATTATGCTAAGCTAGTGATTGAGAGCCATAAAGCATATGATTAATTTATGTGACATATCTAGAAGAGGCACTTTCATAGAAACGAAAACTAGATTAATGGTAGCCTAGGGCTGATGAGGGGAAGGGAAGAGGGAAAGTGATGCCAGTCAGTATCTTTTAAGGACTACCAAAATATTCTAAAATTAAATTGTAATGGTTGGGGAACTGCAGGTGGCATGGTGGTTAAGGCACTGGACTTGCATATGGTAGACCACAGTTCAAATCCAAGACTTGGTGGCTTGCTTTCTCACCTTCTCTCTCTCTGGTGAGCACATGTGCCTTATAAATTTTAAAAACAATAATAATTAAATAAAGTTTCATAAATAATTCTTTTAAAAGATTTTGATGGTTGCAGAACCCAGTGGATATACTAAAAACCATTGAATTTTTTTTTAATAGCCAGAGGGTGTGCACGCTTATCAGAAGGAAAAATAGAAAGCACCCTTCCCCTGCCAGAATAGGATGTGGTTATGCTGCAAGCCTATTCCCTCCATTTCTCCATCCAATAAGGATTCGGGGCATACATGCACATGTACCCAGTGTGTTTTTTAAGCCACGTGGGCTGGGACTTAAACCATGGTAAGTGATGTGGAATCCAATTTCCTATATACAGTGCTTAATCCCTGTGCAAAGGGTCAGCCCAAAACCACTGGATTTTAAATGTATAAATTGTATAGTATATGAATTATATCTCAATAAATCTGGTTTTCTTGGGGATTTTTTGTTTTTTTGTTTGTTTGTTTTTTAATTCATGTTTGAGCATGCATGCATGTGGGTATAAGAGAGAGGGTGAGAGATAAGCACACTCCAAAGGGTCTGTCTTCCTCCAGTCTTCCAGGACATCAGATCCTGGCCACTCATCTGCATGCCTGGTGTTTTTTGCTTGTTCGTTTGTTTTTTGAGAAAGAAAGAGACAGAGAAACAGAAAGCGAGAAATCACCACCACCACCCCCATGGGGGATGGCCATGCCACAATCCCTCCTCCTCCATTCTCCTCTTGGGATCTTGGGCATGCATGCACACGTGCCCAGTGTGAGTTTAAGCCACCAGGTCCAGGACTTGAACTGTGGTCGGCTACATGAGAGTTAAGCGACATAGCCATTATTCTAACTACTGGTCCTGTGCCTGGTATGTTTTCAGGCTGACCAGACCAGGGATTTGAAAGGTAGTCACTGTGTGGGGATCCAGCTTTTCTTGAGCAGTCCACTACTGCGATGCTGCTGAGCCAGTGCAAAGTTTTTTGTTTGTAACTCAATTTATAAAGGTCTATACAAGAACCACATTGTAAATTGAGGTATAGGTGAACTGTCATTTAAAACAAAAGACTAACAATGTCAGTGAATATATGAAAACTCAGATTTATAAAAATGAAAATGGATAGAACTTTTTTTTTTTTTTTGGTCACAAATCATTATTTTGATTTCTTATTGTGCAGA